CCACTGGCTCAGGAAGGCCCTCCTATGGGTCAGGAGTCCCCAGCCTCTGTTTCAGCATCAAGTACTGCAAGAGAAAGAAAACCAAGTGTTAAAGATTAAATCCCAGAGACCTGGAAGTAGGAAAGCACCTGCCTATGCAGATTAGCCAGCAAATCATTGCAATTGTCCAGAAGATGCACGAGTCTCGCCTTTCAAGCAATGCGAATAGCAGCTCACTAAGCTAGCCGGTGCCTAGGTATACACCGCTGCGTTGTACGGACAGGATAGTTACTGAACTAGCAACGTCTCTGTGGCAGGCCAGGAGCAAAGCTCATAAGCAGATCTAAACAGCTCCTGTTTTCCTTCATCATTCCTGTTTTTTTTCTCCAGATAAGGGCGAGGCGGGGGGAGAAGGCACTGCCATCATCCAATCCAATCCTTGTGTAACTGAACCATCACCGTTCAACCCCGGTCCCAGCACAGACGGCACAGCTCTGGCTGTGGACAGGCACTGCTCTGACCCACTGTTTTGGAAGAGGCAGGGTTAGGCCCTTACATTTTTACGGCTGACAATAGCTTGTTGCAACCACAGCAGCTCCATGATCAAGTGATTTCTGTAGGACTGGAGACCAGACCGAGTTCGAGGAAGCTCCTTTATGTCCTCAAGTGGAATTTCTGCAAAGAAGCGGAAGAATAACCTATTATTAGAACACAGATTCAGACTGTACTGTCTCTCCCACAATGAGTTGTTCTAATACACTGTGCACTGGCTCCCATCTCTTACCCAGGCAGGCTTCAAGGGACTCTGCCTCCAGGATAGTGCTGTCGTTCCGCCAGTACTCACGCTCTGCTGGCACGCTGCACTCCTTTTCAGTGCGTTTATCGGCATCAGCCCTGAGATTTGGGGGGCCCACTACATTGCCTTCACCCACAGAGCTCAGTTCTTTCTTGCTTTGCAACTGGGCCGTAGGATTCACACTACTGCAGCCCCAGTCCCATTCTGGTTCAGAGGTGTCCAGCTCCTGTGGTTTTTCTGCGCTGGCCTCATCACTTGGTACAGCCTCCTGTGGACACGAACGCTTCCCTTGTGCTGGCTTCTAAAGGGCCAACATGCGAGAGATTGAAATAAAAGGAAAAGAAAATATAAAGATCCGAAAGGTGGCTGTGCTGCGGGCCAGAGGCTCTCTCCCAGACAGAGATCTGCCATTAGCAGCACTCCTGGCATGACACTGACATGCTCTAGTTTGAACCATCATGAACTTTTTAAAGGGTTTTCCTTCCAGAAGTGGTAAAAACATTAGAGAGCGGCCCCCAGCTGCCACAGGAGTGGGGCCGGCAGTTCAGAACAGCCGGGTGAGGTGGGTGCCCGTGGAGAAGACCCACGGGAGTCACCTGCGCAGGTTGGGTGTTTGATTTGAGGTTGAGCCTCACCCAGGCGAAGAAATCCTCAGTTGGCAACACAGGTGTGCAAGTCAGGGAGAGTCTTACAGCCTGGAGCTATATAGTGGTCATTTTTAATTTGGCAGAATTACAGGTTCCTGGGACTGTGCTGCAAAAGGATCACCTGGTGCAACTGCCCAGCGCTCCAGGCCCCACCACCCACACGGCTCTGCCGTGCTC